AGAGAGAGAGAGAGAGAGAGAGAGATGGCGCGAAAAGTCATTTTGAAAATTAGAATGGCTTTTTATTTACATTTGTTATGTAAGCTAATTCATACATTTTAGGATTTTGAAATAAAAGATATCTAGAGATATTATGCTGTAGGGAGGGCATGGAGTTTGTGTTTTAAACTAAACGTTTGATTTAGAAAAATGTAAATATATATGATAAATATATAATAAACAATATGCTTCACAAACAAATAAATAAATTATAGTAAAAAGCTGATTAGGGAATGGCGACCTAAGGGACAATGCATACTCAACTCGCACACGCTGCTTTTTGCACTAATTAAAGGTGGCAAGACTGGCCCCGCCTTAAAACTATGGAAACTGGCCCCTTCCAAAACTATGGAAGAAACATCTAAAAACTACTTGAGATGCAACAACAACAGACACCCATGATGATGAGTGATTGTGTGAGGGAGTTCAGAGATACACGCAATTCTACATTAAATGAGTACATAATCATTTTTATCACACAGTTAAGAAGCACTTGTTGGGGGCACAGCATCCTTGAATGCTGGGACGTTTCAGCAAATAGAGAGCACTTGTCAGGGTGCTCACTTTTAATATCTGACCATAGCTACATTTCTCTGCTTGTATCAAGAGCTGTTAAAAGGTCCTTTTCTTCACATAATAACTTTTTATAAGTTTCAGAGTGCAAAGTGCCACAAGGCTCTGTCTTAGGTCCTTTGTTGTTTGATTGTACACAATACCCTTAGGTAATATTGTAATATTTGTTGTTATGCTGATATGACATGAGCCTTGTGAAGCAAGTTGGCGGAAAAAATGAGTCGGGAGGAAAAATATATTTCATGGCTTCTGCGTTCACTGGCAAAACTTTTAAATTTTGTCGCAGCGTTCCCCCAAGAACCTTTGCATTCGCTAGCATGTGGGTGACAATATATATATATATTTTTTCTTTGGCATTTACATTGTTTTATTCTTATTGTATACCTCATATTATTTTCATCACAAAAGTGCAAAATTTCTCAGGAATGCAAATGTTTTGCAGGCAAATGCAAAGTTTCTTGGAGGAACGCAGTTGTGTTGCGAGAGAACTTGAATATTTTGTGAGAGGATGCAAAAGTTTTGCGATCAAATACAATGTTTCTCATGGGAACGCGATGGTTTAGTGCAAGTGCTCAAGGCTCAGTTTCACTAAATAAACAGACTTTTGGTGCTTTGCAATGATTATTTTTTCATGTTTGCAATCCAGCTCATTATAGCCTTCCTGGAGTGTGTAGTGTAAATGAAGCATGCCAGTGTTTTTATCAGCTGGATTGGTGTTAGCCGTTAGCATCAAGTCAGTAACACTGTTTCGTATAAATAAAGCATTGAGAGTTATGCTGTGTATCAAACTGTACAACATTTCCGAGGACAGTTTAACGTGTCGTGGAAAAAAAAGATCTAAAGCAATCGTTTATGTGATGGTGTGTGTATTTGATTTTAGCAGGTGTTTTGCTAAATTATATGTATGATGTTAAAGATAAAGCCTCGTTTATTAGGTTATTCTGATGTATTAATGCTGTTAGACGTTGTATTTAAATGTTGGTCACATTTGGAGTGCATGTTGACATTGGATAATGCATGTGTGCCCTGCAGGTTGTTCAGTGCTGAGATCTATCTAGAGCAGGCCAGAGCGTAACCATGGAGGAGGAGGACAGCCAGGATGAGCTGATCAACAGGAACATCTCCCACGGAAAAGGGAAGAGACCTGCCATGTCCATCATCTCTGATGACGGTTAGTAATCTTGCATCAACACAGGAAGATTTGTGTGCCAAAAATCATCTCTACCCTACCCTGGAAAGCATGCTATACCAAATAATAATCAGAAAAATCATATTTTTTAATTAATTGTATTTATTTTTTGTTACAAAATGTTCATTGATTTATTTTTAACACCAGCCACCTGCCCCCCACCACCATTTTTTCTTGGGCTACACGCCAATGCACTCTAAATATCTCACAATCATGTCTTAGGAAGATGATATTTGAACGCTGAGTTTTATGATCAAAGCCCTATAGTTTCAAAACATGCAATTCACTACAATGATGATTGAGAGATGAAGCCTAAAACCCGATGATCGTGCTTGATTCTCACGTTTCAACATGATTTTTCGAAAACATTAAGTATGGATAATCACTAAACCTAAGTTACTTAAGTCCAGTAAGTGTTCATTTTGAAATATCACTAACAATACCAGTTATTCTTTTGTTTATTTTATAAAAATCTGTAAAGATTTCACAGCTAGAAGACACGAGAATCACAAGCTGAAGGTGGATGATTGTGCAATTATACTAAAAGGCATTTTACTTGCTAAAAATGGTTTTATTATTATTTTTGATTATGTTGATAAGAGGCCTTAGAAATTTGTGTATCGGATATGATACAGTGGCTTTTTAGGATTAAGGTCAGGATTGCATTTAATAAATACATATTTTTATTCTGTTTTATGACTTCTCTTCCCGCATACCATGGAAATTCAGAGGACATCTCGGAAGATGAGGGGGAATCAGAGGAAGGAGCAACAGGCAGCGAGGAAGATGATGATTACGAAGAAGAGGAAGTCGTTGATGGAGAGGAGGAGGATGACAGTGAAGGTAAGCTTTAGCTTCAACATGCCTTTATTATTTACATTTTTATAGTTGTCAATTTAACGTGTTCATTTAGTTGATTATTTGAACGTTTTTAAAATTTAATAAAGTATTTTGATTTCTTTTGTATCATCTGTTTAATGATTTAAACGCCTGCAAGAATATTAATATCTTATCTTCTTTGGGCCTTTCATCACTTTTAAATGTTAAGCTTATGATAAAATCAAACTGACAGTTCTTATGTCTTTATGGAATATTGCAGTGTTTAAAATAAATGATATATGTTCACATTATTATTTTTTTTTTAATTCATGTTTTTTTAAAGATGTTTTCGACTTCAGCTTCATGCCAACTATACATTTTATCATGAAAATAAACACTGAACTGTAAACTTGTAAATATAAACTGTACACTTGTAAATAACTTTTATTTATTTAGACATTTATTAGACGCTTTTATCCAAAGCGACTTACAACTGAGGACAACAGAAGCAATCAATTGTAGCATTAAAACAACTAAAAACAGACCCAAAACTAAAAGCTAAAACTTTATAAATACTAACTATACACATTTAAAAAAATAAAAGAGACTAAATAAAAATGACAAATGCATACAACAAAATTTCAAATCTTAACATTTAAATGAAAAAACAAAAATAAAGCTTAAAAACAAATCAAAATATTAAAGAACAAAAGGTATAAGAGTATAATAATGATTCTAACATAACACTAAGCCAAACACCAAAAAAACAACAACATATGTGTGTATGTACAACCACACACACACACACACACACACACATAGGGCTGGACAATAATTCAATATCAATATGTATCGCGATATATTTTTTTTCAATAACGGTGATATGATTTTTAAACACATTTCCGATATTTCGATATACATTACCAGTTTCCCATACATTGATTTATTGAGAGTCTGAGATTTATTTGACAGTGATTTCACATTTCTTGTTTGTATGAAGGCTAAATACCAATAAAAGGTGAACATTTATTTATTTGCGTCATTTTTTTCCTAAAATATTATATAGTTTTATAGGAGTAGGTTTCATAGAGTTGGAAAATTAATTTTTCATAAGTTTGTAGGTACAGACATCTGTTGTGGCCGTTCTTGGCCGTTTTTGTGAGGCTTTTTTAATAGTGTTCATATCGATATCGAAATTATATCGTATCGACCGAAATTAAGAAATATATGGTGATATAAATTTTGGCCATACCGTCCAGCCCTAATATATATACATATACATACACATTTATAAATTCAATATATATATTATTTAATTTCCATTTAGTTTGTTGAAGTATTAAAATAACTCAAATTAAATAAAACAAAAAACTTAATAAAAGACCTATACAGACATAATAAATTCAGACATAATTTAACTAAAATTAAAATAAATAACAAACACAAATAATACAAATCAAACGACATGCTAAAAAACAACAACTTACTGACACATAGTAAGAAATGGTTATAAAAACTGAAACAGAAGCGAAACAAGTAATAGGATAATTTCTGTACATTCATTAAAACAGTTGTTTTTTTCTCTATATTTCTACTTCTGTGTTATGTTGCATTATTTACTTTTCAGTTTTTCTTATATTAGTGTTATATTTAATCTCTACTGTGTAATTATGTATGTAACTATGTATGTCTGTACTTTCTTCTGCACTGGAAGCTCCTGTCGTCAAGACAAATTCCTTGTGTGTGTAAACATACTTGGTAATAAAGCTCTTTCTGACTTCTTCTAAAATGCATATCTAACCACATGATACAGTATTATATCCATCTTATAAAAGTGTCAGATCATGTGGCGCATTAATTGTTAGGAGTGATCAGTTTGCATTTTGCCCTAAAATATGCATGTCATAACACGACCACACCATCCTCAAACAAACATTGGAGGAAAAACACTGTTGTGTGTGTGTGTATCTTCAGATGAGGACTCTGGTAAGGTGCTGGAAGGAGCTGTAGGGAGTGTTGCTGTGGATGCAGCGGGTCTGAGCTCAGACGAGGACTCGGAGAAATGCCCCATCTGCCTGAACTCATTCCACGAGCAGCCCGTGGCCACGCCGGAGTCCTGCGAACACTACTTCTGTCTGGACTGCATTCTGGAGTGGTCAAATGTAAGAGTGACGGGCTTCAACCCTTTACATCACTCATGCATAAAGTTCTTGTCCATATTTGGTCAATGATTCTATACAGTTATTCAGCATTATAATGCTACATTTGATGCAATAGTGTTCCTAACAATGTTATTGTAGTATCATTGAGACAATGATACTATTATAGTTTTTATTCATAGCTTGAATTAGTTTATATTTTCCATTTTGATTTTAATTGTTTCAAATGTAGTTTTTTTTTGTGGTTTGTCTTTTTTATTTTTATTCATTTTTTTCACTTTTAGTTATTTTTGTACAAGAAGTTAAACTAAATAAAAATCAGAAATGTTTCCTTGGTGACTAGCTGAAATAAAACAATTTTAAGTTTATATATATATATATATGTAAGTATTCGTTAAGTTCAGCTATAAGCAGCTCAACGGAAGACAATTCAGAACAGTCAGTT